AAAAAAAAAAAAAAAAAAAAAAAACCCAATAAAATAAAATCAATCTGCATTTTCATATTAATGTAATTGTGGTGATCCCCACAACGTTATGTTCCTCTTAGTGCAAACAAGAAATGTTTCCTAGAGCATGAGAGTCAAAGGGTAGAACACGCCATTGCTGAATTACTGGGTAGCCGGATTTTCCTATAGTGGGACTTCTCCATGGCAATGCCAGCATTTTTTCGGACTGTACAATTCTTTGTTGTGGGGGGCTGTCCTCCTGTAGAGTAGGATGTTAGCAGCCTCCTTGGCCTTTACCCACCAGATGCCAGTAGCTCCCCTCTCCCAATTGTGACGATCCAAAGCGCCTCCAGACATTGGTGTCTCATCACCCCCAGCCCATAACAAGTGTCCTATAGGAATTTTGGTTCTAGTTAGATAATTTTCTTATTTCACAAATGGTGGGAAATGGGGGAAGGGAAATACTTATTACTTATTTGCTATGAGCTAGACACTCTTATCTGTGTTATTCCATCTTGCAGATGAAGACGCTGGAGTACCGAGTGGAAGAACCTGCTGGAGATCATAAAAGCGAATTTAGTTCAATCAGGACTGCAAGCCGGTTTGTCTGACTACAAAGACTTTAGCCCTTTTCCAGGACACTCCCACTGCTTCTTTGCCAGAAAAACAGCACACCTCAAACCGAAGGTGAACGGCAAATTCAAAAACTGTATACAAAACATATTTAAAAACTTTTTTAGGAGAGAGGCATCACTACCTTCAGAGTTATTACATTTGCTTGAATATAAATATACATGCCAACACATATATAGACATGGGGGCCCCTCACTACCGTTGTGGCTCTGGTCTTATCTCTGAAAAACACAGAATAACACAATGGAACAACTTCAATTCTCCTTGTTACAAATTATCCAAAAGCCAGAGTCTAACGGTGCCAAAAGCAACCGGTCCTGTTTACGTAAGGCTTGAAGGCTAATAGTTAACTTTTTCCCATTTAATTCCAGCAACAGTAAATAACGCCTCACTTTACACCGCCAGAGGAAGGAGATGTCATGAAATGGGGAAGAAAACACTGAGTGCAAAGGAAAATGGGAAGGTGCTTTCCAGCTTCCTCCCCCTGGCGCGGGCGCGGGCCCTTGGGTCGGCCGGGACTGCACCGCCTGGGTCCCCCCGGTCCCCACCGAGCTCCCGAGCGCGGCGCCCCAGCTCTCTGGCTCCATTCCCGCCCCAGGGCGAGCCTGGCCCCTCTCAGAGAAGCCCGTCCCAGAGCCAGGCCTGGAAAAACAACAGCGAGACAAACTTTGGCTCGGTGCGAAAAGCCAAGCCTCAAGTTTGGCTCGGGGCTGCAGCTGCCGGTTCCGATCGGGGGGTGGGGTGGGGTGTGTGTGGGGGGGTCACCACTCGGTCAGGTTCAAGTGCGCATGTGCGCGAGGAGTCGCTCGGGCACTTATTGAGCGCCGACTGTCTACGGGCAGCCGGGGGTGTGTAGCCGGGGCGCACGGGGCGGGCGGGCTGCGTGCTGGGCGGGTGCGCGGCCGGGGGGTGGCCGGGGAGGCGCGGGGGCGCGGGGGTTGGGCGGGCGGGGGTGTGTCCCGAGCGTCTCTGCAGGGCGCCGGCGGGCGCGCTGCTCCGCTCCCTTCCCGGGCGGGAATCCGGGCCGGGTTGTGGCCGCGGCCGCGTACGTGAGCGCAGTGTCCCGGGGAGGGGGCAGGCCGGCCAGGTGGGCGCCAACCCAGCCTCGGCGTTCGGCCGGAGCGGAGCCGGGCCGCGGGCCGCGCCGGGAGGGCGTGCAGGGCAGCGGCCGCTGCAGCCCGGAGCCGAGCGAGCCGTCCGAGCCGAGCCGTCCGAGCCGGGGAAGCCCGGCGCGCCGCTGCCGTTCGTGGCGGGCCGAGGTGAGCTGCGCGGGGACCTCGCGGCGCGGCAGCCGGGGACGGGGGCGGCTGCGAACTTCCCACGCCCCGCGCGCTCGCCTGGGGGCCGGGCCGGCGGCCTGGGGGCCTCGGGGGTCTGGGAGGCCGGGGCCGCGGCGGGCGGGGCGCGGGGCGCTGCGGCAGGGCCGGGGTGGCGGGCGGGGGTGGCTGCCGCTCCCGCGCGTCGCCTTGTTTACCTCGCGCGCCGCTGGCGCCCCCCCTCGGAGCCCCCTCCCTGACTTCGGGCGGCCGGGAGTCGACACTCGGAGGGACGTGGACCGGCCCGCCTGCTCCTCCCCGGCCCTTTCCGGCGGGGCCGCCCGCCCGACCCTCCCGCGCCCCGCGCGTTCCTGCGGGTTCCTGCCCACTCCGGCCAGCGCGCGAGGCCGGGCTGCGGGACGGGCGGGACAGCGGGACTGGGGGACACACCCTCCGCCCGCGGGCGGCCCGCGCCCCTCCCGCCCTGGCCGCCACCCCCTCTGCCCGCGCGCTCTCGCCCCCGCGCCCCTGCCCCTCCCCGGCGGTGGCACAGTGGGCTCGCGCGGTGCCCGAATGGGGGCCTGCACGGGGAGTTTGTCCTGTGCAAACAATTTCCGAGGCAGCGTTTTCTTCCCTGGCGGGGAGTGCAGGGCTCAGCGCCTTCACTTTGGAACTGACTCAGACCTGACGAAGCCCACCTGGCTGGCGGGGAGGGGGGCCTCCGCCTCTCGGTTTTGAGCAGCCCTGGCCAGTTCCCGGTGGCCTCGTAGGTCTTCCACCGGGCAGGCGTTCCCATGATGCCAGGCTGCCGGGCGCGGGGGATCCCTGCAGGCCGGCACCGCTTTCCTTAGAACCCCCTTTCTGGAAAGGTGCACCTGGGGTCTTTGCTTCAAAGTGAGGGAGCCACAGGTTCCTAAGGCTGCCTTCACACACTCTCCAGGTGTTGTGTAAACAGAAGCTCCTGGTCGCAAATACCTTGAAACACAAGGGAACGTGGCCATTAAGTTCAACTCTACAGGTCCTTTTGGGGAGCTGCTGTGCTCCCAGCACGGTGCCAGGCTCTCTGGGAGGCGGCGGAGGCCCCAAGGAGACCCCAGGCTGCAGGAAGCCTAGGACTGACTAGGTGGAAGTGATTTAGTAGTTGACGTTCAAGTGAATGTGCAGTGGCTGCCTGAGTGAGTGGAGATGCTGGGGTGGGAGCATATCAGATAAAGGAAGGAGGACATTGGGGAAGGGAAGTGGAGTACTACATTTTGAAATAAGTTATGCCTGTGGAGAGGTGGAGAGTAACTCATCCCTAGGGCCCAAAGACAAGAGGAGAAGCAAGTAACAGGTGGGATAGTTTGCAAAGCGGGGCAGAGGAGCACAGGCTCATACCCATCTCGGAGCGGGAGGAGACAGAGATATAAGAGATGACTCCCTCCCTCCAGGGCGTCTACTCTCATGAAGGATGTGAGCCTGGGAAATCAGACACCAAGAAATATAATGGTAACTGTCAAAGTGCGACGTGCAGAAATAGTTCTGTTGGAGTCTGAGAAGGGAGCCGTGGGTAGGGCTCAGTCACCAGGACTGTCTGTATTCCTGGAGGCTGACGCTCTTGAGATGGGCTGTGAGGTGGGAATGAACATGGCTTTACAGAGAGGCAAGGAGATGGCCTTGGCCAGACCAGGAAACGTATCCTGTACAGTAGGAGACAGAGATGGAGAGGAACAATGGTTGAGATTGTGAAAGTCCTAGAAAGCCCTGTCGGTGATTGCATGCCACCCTGTGTGTCCTAAGGAGACAGTCAAGATTTCCGAGTGAGGGAATGTTGTAATAACAACTGTAATGGACGGGCTTTGGAAAGTCATGTTAGGAGGACACATCAGGGAGCAGGCGGCTGCAGCTGTGGGGTGCCCAGAGTTTGCACTGGGATCGGTGGAAGTGGAAAAGGTGGGTTTGAGAAACATGGCTGTTGAAATAATCTGTTTACAGGGCAGGGTCAAGGGATGAGATGAATGGAAATTAATTCTTGGTGGAAATTGATTCTATGCCAGGGCCTTGGGGCTGCTGTAGTTGGTAACTTGAGAAATCGGAAATGTGTATTTTGGAGAGAAGGAATTGACTACTCAGGCTGTAGAGAAGTTTCTTGGGGCTGCTAAGATATCCAGATGTGGGTGTCCTGCAAGCAGCTATGCTCTGAGATGAGGAGGGAGGAGTGGGGGGTGGGGGGAGCCCCCGGGGTTGGTGTTGCAGAGGCTGCAGAAGCCAGGAGAGGGAAGGGGCTTGGAGGAGAAGTGGGGAGGCTGCTGGTAATAGGCGGGCAGCAGAGGATGCCCCTGAATGGCACTCGCCTGAACCGAGGGGCTTCTGTTTCTCTCTCCCGCACTGCCATTCACAGGACATTGCCCGGTTCTGAACCTGAAGCTAGAAAAGCAACTGTGGGCAGTTGGGCCCTGAGGAGGATGGGGCTGTTGATTCTTCTAATCGCGAGGGTGGATTGGAGGTTAGAAGGAAGTAGAATGGGATTTGCTAAAGACAATAAATTGCTGGGCTTTGAAATACGTTGAACTTTGCTGGGGGCTGGGGGGTGGGTAGGAGTGAGAGAGTTAGGGAGGAGGACATTTTAACTCTAGGGATATTGTGATTCCCAGGGCCGTTCCTACCAGAGCCTGGCACCCTGCAGGTAGAGGGGAGCTCTTGCTGTTTTTTTTTTTTTTTTTTTTTTTTTTTTTTTTTTTTTTTTTTTTTTTTTTTTTTTTTTTTTTTTTTTTTTCCTGAGCTCTGTTCATGTTGCAAGGGTGACACAGAGTGATTTGCTGAACAAATTCCCCAGGCCTCAACATGCAACATCTGAATTTGAATGATGGTTGCAAAAAGCTGTGGATTGAGCTGAGAACGTAATTACTGTTACTTAGCCTCCTTGTTTCTCTGAGATGCAGGATCAGTGAGTGAACTAGTAGGGGAAGAGGATTTGGGAATCAGATAATTTTCTTTATCGGGTGTATCTGACTGTCCAAAGACTAATTGCAGTGGAGAAGTTGTCAAGCTTATTGACTCATTGGAAAGCAGTGTCTGTACTGTTTTGACTGTGACTTACCTTAAGAAATGAAATTTACATCGTGACCTAGTACCTACAATCATGTATAAAGAAATCGAATCTAAGTTCATAAAGTACTACCTCCCTTTGCTCGGTGTCATCTCTGATGTTTCTATTTTCTAGTCTATTATTGTTCACTCAAAAAGCTGTTGTCTCCCACTAAGTTGATCTAATCGTCCTCTAATGGATCATAACCCACAGTGTGAAAAAAACAGAGTTTTCACATTCAGTGAGTATTTGTTAAGCTGTTTAAGTGAAGAGCTACTGTAACTAGTAAGGTGGAAGAAGGCATGAGGAAGGGTAGATTTACAGACTGTTTGGAAAGATGAGAGACACCTTGATTAAGGAGCAAGCCAAGGTGATTAAATGCCAACATGAAAAATCATTTCCTGTGGGGCTCAGAGAAGCCGGGAGTGATCTGTGCTGTGTGGCTTGGAAAAAGGTTTGGGGACAAGGAAGTCTGGGATGAACTGTTTTTGGTGTTTCAGCGTGCTGCAGAGTTGGGGAGGTGTATAGAATGGGCAAAGCCTTGGAGTTAGGAATGTGTAAAGTCTATGATTGTGTCAGAGAGAAGAACAGAGGGTTCTTGTTAGAGATTAGAGAGAAATCAAGTTGTTAAAGTGGGCCGGGGTCACTTATAGGGCAAAGGTTGTAAACTGGTGGCCAAGGAGGGTTTTAAGCATAAGGATATGTTATACTTTGGACTACATAAAGATGTTTAAAAATTGGGGAAAAAATCCAGAAAAATCTCTGGATTTGCAGCTCTTTTAAGGAGTCAGACCTGGTGTTCATCTCAAGCTGAGAAGGCTGTCCCCTGCGGACAGGAGGCAGGCTCATGGTCCCGGGGCTTCCTTTCGCCTCAGTCTGTTCACTTTCCATCCACGACTTAGTCCTGTAGGCGTTTTGCTTTGCGGTCTCAGTTTTCAAGAGACTCGAATGCCAAGCCAGGAAATTCGGGATTGCTGTCATGGGCTCTGGGTGGCCACTGAGGAGTCCGGGTAGGAGTGTGGCATTATGGAATCTGAGATATTTCTGTGCACTGGATTTGTTTAAGGCAAATCAACAGCACTTTTTGAGAAGCTGCTGGCTGGGACTTTGAAATATTTTTATGACAATGGCAAAGGAATT